ACACCAACTCTTCTAAAAGCGCAAAAATTAGCCAGGCCTGGCGACCCATGCCTGTAATCCCAGCAACTCAAGAGGCTGAGATGGGAAAATCACTTGAACCTGGGAGGCAGAGGTTGAAGAAAGCCGAGATCAAATCGCTGCAATCTAGCCTGGGCAACAGAGAAGCTCTGTTTCAAAAGAAAAATATAACTTCATAAAAACGAACTAGGAAGAAACAGAAAAGTCAACATCTGGAACCATTAAAGAAATTGAGGCTGGGCGCGGTGGCTCATGCCTGTAATCTCAGCACTTTGGGAAGCAGAGACGGGTGGATCACCTGAAGTTGGGAGTTCGAGACCAGCTTGATCAACACGGAGAAACCCCGTCTCTACTAAAAATACAAAATTAGCCGGCACATGCCTGTAATCCCAGCTATTCAGGAGGTTGAGGCAGGAGAATTGCTCCAACCCGGGAGACAGAAATGGCAGTGAGCCGAGATCCTGCCATTGTACTCCACTGTGGGTAACGAGAGCGAAACTCTGTCCCAAAAAAAAAAAAAGAATAATAAGAAAAGAAATTGAATGTTTATTTTAAAATCATCTGTATCCCATCCCCTAAAAAATCTTACAAAAAAAAAAAAAAAAACAAAGGAAAACATCTGGCTCTGTTGATTTTACAGACAAGGCCAGCAAACAGTGCAAAGAACAGAGAGTCTTTATCTTCCACATAATTAAAAAAAATTTTTTTTAGATGAAGTCTCTCTGTAGCCCAGGCTGGAGTGAAATGGCATGATCTCAGCTCACCATAACCTCCGCTTCCCAGGTTCAAGTGATTCTCCTGGGATTACAGGTACACGCCACTGCACCCGGCTAATTTTTTGTAATTTTAGTAGAGACAGGGTTTCACCATGTTGGCCAGGCTGGTCTTGAACTCCCGACCTCAGGTAATCGCCTGCCTCGGCCTTCCAAAGTGCTAAGGATTACGGGTGTGAGCCACCGCGCCAGGCCTACATAATCTTTCAGAAAAAGAAGGAATCGGAATTCTCCCCAACTCACTGTGAATTTAGTATAAGCTTAATACCAAACCAGACATGAATAGTAAGTACAAGGAGGCAAAAGTATAGACCAACTTCTTATGGACAAATATGCAGAAATGCTAAATAAAATACTAGCAAATAATCCAGCAACGTATTAAACATGTGTAACGACCAAGTTATGGTTTTCCTAGGAAACTAAGGTGATGTAATAAAAAACTATTTAAGTAGCACAAACTATCAAAGGAAAAAACCTGTATGATCATTGCAACCTGTTCATTTGCCACATAATAGAATTTCTTTAATATTATATATAGATAGGTTGCTCGCTTATTCTTTTTGTCTGTGTTCCCTTGTGCGTCCGGAGCGGCAGGAGGCAGGCCTTTGTGTTTTTCTCACCACTGTCTGGCTCATGCCTAGCACCGTCCTTGGCACACTGTAAGCACGCTGAGGACAGTTTTGGATCTAGCGCACTCCGCAACATTACGCAGGGCCCAATGGGGCCTCTAAAGGGACCCGCCTTGCTAGGCTCCGGCACCAGTCATGACGCGTGCGCATTGGCTGCCCGGGTATTTTTTTTTTTTTTCTTGACCAGGTAAGTGGTAGGGCGCCTGCGCGACCCAGTGTCGGGAGCGACGCCAGCTAGAGAGGCGGGGCTGCGGCGCCTGCGCCATGAGGAAATGTGGGCGGGGTCCGCACGGCGCCTGCGCGGGCGACCGCAAGCCTGCGGGGCGCGAAGGGGCGGACCAAGGGCGGGGGCCGAGAGGGAGGCTAGGCGGTCCCGGCAAGCGGCGCCGCGGGGTTGGCTGCTATCCTGAGGCCGGACTCAACGGGTCCCGGCTGAGCCACTAGGTGAGCTCCGCCCGGCCCCAGCCACGAGCCTGCGAGGGAGCGATGCGGCGCCGCGCGGTAAGAGCCAGGGCCGCGTTCCCGCAGTGTTCCCCCGCGCGTCGGTTTATTGCCTCAGAGCCGCCCGCGCGGCCGGGCTCAGGCGTCCCCGCAGACCCCGGCAGGTCCCGCGCCTGCGCCGTCCCCCTCCCGGGCCCCTACGGTCTGTCCCGCGCCTGCGCCTTCCCCTTCCCGCGCCGTCCCGATTCCGAGCTCCGAGGCTCCTGGGACAACCCGCAGGCTTTGCCGCGGAGACCCGCGGGCCTCCGTCCGTCGGTGCCGGGGTTGAGCTGGTTCTGGGACCCCGCCTGCGGCTCGTCGGTGTGTGGACAGGCCGGGCGCGACCCTCGTGCTGGCCTTTCCGGCGCTCCGGGACAGGCCGGGGCTGCTGCCCCGTCGTCCCGGTTCCCTGCCTCGGGCGGGGACGGCATTGCTCCGTGGCCCCGAGGGCGCGGCGCGCGGAGCGGAGGCCACGGGCGGCGGCCCCAGGGCCTGCTGCGGGTGCTGCTGCTGCCGGGGCCGGCGCCCCGGGACGACGGAGCGTCTTTTCTTCTCGAGACCTGGCTCCTTGCGTCAGGTTGGGTGTGAATAATCTGGTGCTTTGCTGAGGAAATTTTGCATTTCCAGGAACTTGGTAATTGTATCAGCTTAAGTAGTTAAATCTGCGGCATCGTAGTCCTGGCAAGTTGGGCGCGCTGCCCTGGGGATGACGAAAAGAAATCGGTTTCCAGTAGTTTTACCCCATTTACAGAACACGCAGAAATTCTGTGGTCATTCAGGTGCAGGGGCTGGATTTGTTGATGTCCTTGGTCATTTGTCTGAAGTACGGGAAGGGCCAGGAAAAGATTCTCGTGACTGCTGCCCGGGTGATTACAGGGGACAGTGTTTTCTTTTGTCAAAAGAGCCTTTTACGCCATTATAATACTTCCCAGGTTTATAACAGGTACGAGCCTTTAAAACATGACATTTGCTGTCACCCAATAGGACACGTCTTGAGATGAAACCAGAGCCGTAGGCTTTGTGGACGAGAGCAGTCATTTCTGGTGGCTTCGGGGGAGGGGAGGGCGACTGCAGTTTTATGACTGTAGGTGATGCCAAAGGGAGTATAGTAGTTTTTAGTAACTAAAAACCAGGCCAGGCGCAGTGGCTCGCGCCTGTAATCCCAGCACTTTGGGAGGCGGAGACCAGCGGATCACCTGAGATCAGGAGTTCGAGACCAGCCAATATAAAAATTGGGTGGGCGTAGTGTCACCTGCGTGTAATACCAGCTACTTAGGAGGCTGAGGCAAGAGAATCGCTTGAACCCGGGAGCGGAGGTTGCAGTGAACCGAGATTGTGCCACAGCACTCCACTTCAGCCTGGGTGACAGCATTCTCCGTCTCAAAAAATAAAAATAAAAAACCCAAAACAACGACAAAAAAAAAAAACACATAGCAAGGCTGAGTGCAGTGGGTCACCCCTGTAATCTCAGCACTTTGCCGAGGTGGGTGGATCACCTGAGGTCGGAAGTTTGAGACCAGCCTGCCAACATTGTGAAACCCTATTTTTTTTTTTTAGACAGTTTCACTCTTGTTACCCAGGCTGGAGTGCAACGGTGCGATCTCGGCTCACCGCAACCTCCGCCTCCTGGGTTCAGGCAATTCTCCTGCCTCAGCCTCCTGAGTAGCTGGGATTACAGGCACGTGCCACCATGCCCAGCTAATTTTTTGTATTTTTAGTAGAGACGGGGTTTCACCATGTTGACCAGGATGGTCTCGACCTCTTGACCTCGTGATCCACCCGCCTCGGCCTCCCAAAGTGCTGGGATTACAGGCTTGAGCCACTGCGCCCGGCCTTTATTTTGAGACGGAGTTTCGCTCTTGTTACTCAGGCTGGTGTGCAATGGCGCGATCTCGGCTCACCGCAACCTCCGCCTCCCGGGTTCAAACAATTCTCCTGTCTCAGCTTCCTGAGTGGCTGGGATTACAGGCACGTGCCACCATGCCCAGCTAATTTTTGCATTTTTAGTAGAGACGGGGTTTCACCTGGTTGACCAGGATGGTCTCGATCTCTTGACCTCGTGATCCAGCGGCCTCGGCCTCCCAAAGTGCTGGGATTACAGGCTTGAGCCACCGCGCCCGGCTAAAAACCCATCTTTATTACAAATAAAAAGTCAGCCGGGTGTGGTGGCGCACTTGTGATCCCAGCGGCTCGGGAGGCTGAGGAAGGAGAATCGCTTGAACCAGGGAGGTGGAGGTTTCAGTGAACGAAGATCCAGCCACTACACTCCAGCTTGGGGGATGAACCGGACTATGTTTCAAAAAAAAGAAAACCAGGCATAGCAATATAAACATGTTATAAAATAGTCAAACCATTATATAGTGGAAGGAGAAGTATTGTTCTGCGTAAAATTATCCCTATAAATAAATGGCTGATCCAGTATTTTTTCCTCCATAAATACATCTTTTCTCCTTTTGATTTAGTGTATACCATGCAGAGTTGCTGAGCAGACTCAGTGACTTTTTAGATAGGTGGAGAGTGCTTCGTAATGGTTGCAGGTGCGTAGGGGTGTTCTTGACATTTTCAGTAAGAAAGTGAATGTTGTGCCATAGGAAAGCTTTATCACTGGTGCACTTTGGTAGCAGACCCAATGTGTGTCAAGTACAGTGTCTAGTGAGTGGAGAATAACTGTAATAATTACAATTACAGTTAAAGTGAAGTTTGCATCAAAATTTCGGTTTCAAACATGAACTTTCGGGATATATCTGCAGTGTGTCCTCTTCAGATGGGATTTCTCTGAAGCAGTGGTTCTCTATAACTGACTTGACACAATACATCTGATGTTTTGAATGACTTAAGTGATAATATCAAAATTGCTATCATATACAGATGTAAGTCACATGACTAACCTCTGGTATTACGAAAACTGAGCTCATTCAGTAAGGGAACAGTAAGGGACTGGCTGTCAAGAGGCAGGAGAAATGTTCTTGGCCTTATGGCTTTGGGCAAGTCAGCTTTGCTTTCTGAACCTTCGTTTCCCCACCTGTGAAGTTTGGAGGGATGGAAAGAAGCTTGAGGTGCTAATGTTAACATTCAGCAGGTCCTGGCCTGTAGAGTCTTCTTCAGCTATGGGTGGAACTGTGTCTTCTCTCTCTCTCTTTTTTTAATAATTAAATTTTAAACATTTCATGCATCTTCAATCATCATGTTTTATCTGTCCTCCAAAGGAGAAATAGGTAAGGATTATCCCACCTGACTATGGAACTTCATCTTCTCACCAGTTCAATGACACTGTTTTGCAGGCCCTTCTCAAAGTTGGGAGTGGGGAGGGTTGGTGACTTTGTAGTTGGTGAGAATTAATCGGAGACACTGGGCCGGGCGCGGTGGCTCAAGCCTGTAATCCCAGCACTTTGGGAGGCCGAGGCGGGTGGATTACGAGGTCAAGAGATCCAGACCATCCTGGTCAACATGGTGAAACCCTGTCTCTACTAAAAATACAAAAAACTAGCTGGGCGTGGTGGCGCGTGCCTGTAATCCCAGCTACTCAGGAAGCTGAGGCAGGAGAATTGCCTGAGCCCAGGAGGCGGAGGTTGCGGTGAGCCGAGATCGTGCCGTTGCACTCCAGCCTGGGTAACAAGAGCGAAACTCCGTCTCAAAAAAAAAAAAAAAAAAAAAAAAAAAAAAAAAAAATCGGAGACACTGATCAGTCCTCTAGAATGGCGTATTGTGTGGGCTTTAGCATAAAAAGAAGCAAAGGACCATATTAGGAGTCTTTTCATACAATTAAATTTATTCAATTAAAGGACTATCCTTTCTAAAAAAAAAAAAAAAGTCCTGCTTTCTTGGTGTTAAAGGATCTTTTAGGAAACGATGATAATAGTAAATGGTGATATATGGTGATTGTAAATAGCAAATCAATACAGGGTTAATTATTTTATTGTGATTTTTAAAAATAAAGAGAGCCGAGAATCTGGTGTTTTGCTGCTGTTTGTTAGGGAGTTTAGTAAAAGTTCCTGAGGCTTTTGCTGTTAAGAAGATTCAAATATAGATTATTTCTTAAGAGTAAATACGAGTTTACTTTGAGGTCGTCTGTCACAGTCTACCGAGAAATCCACTGAGAAAGCTGTTACGTTTGCCTGGCATTAAAGATGTTCCTATTCTGACCATTGTTAAATCTTTTCTTATAGGATATAAAATGTCAGGAGATTTTTGTGTGTGTATGTGATGGAGTTTTGCCTTTGTTGCCCAGGCTGGAGTGCAGTGGCACCATCTCAGCTCACTGCAACCTCCGCCTTACGGGTTCAAGTGATTCTCCTGCCTTCCTAGTAGCTGGGATTACAGGTATACGCTACCACCCCCAGCTAATTTTGTATTTTTAGTAGAAACGGGGGTTTCTCCATGTTGGTTATGGTTGTCTCGAACTCCTGACCTCAGGTGATCTGCCTGCCTTGGCCTCCCAAAGTGCTGGGATTACAGGCATGAGCCACCGAGCGCCCGCCCCAGGAAATTTTTTTTTTTTTTTTGTGGTGTGCCAACAAAATAAGCCTAGGCAGGGAAATTCCTCCTGGTGGTTGGAATTGTTAGTATTGAATAGACTAGCTGCAAGGTAAAGAACCCCCCTGGGGTTCTCTTAGCAGCTCAGAAATCTTTTAACACTGTGACCTCAGTCTTTTGCCGTGAAACAACATGACCATTAAGAAAGTAGGCTTAAACAATGTATTTTGGGTATGTTGAAGGGGAGGGACAGTTATGATCTGTTCCAAAGCAAACATAACAGATGATCTCTGTGTCTGTGAAGACTTAAAAATTTATAGTGCTCTGCTGTTAATCTCCAATAAGATTTAGAATTATTGTGACATACTCTTAAAAAACTGCAGTGTATCAAAAAATACATTTTTGAAGCATCTTGAAATGAAATTAATGATGTAATATCTGTCTTCATAATAGCAATTTTTTTTTTTTTTTTTTTGAGATGGAGTCCCACTCTGTCTTCCAGGCTGGCCTCCACCTCCCAGGTTCAAGTGATTCTTCTGCCTCAGCCTCTCGAGTAGCTGGGACTACAGGCGTGAGCTACCACGCCTGGCTAATTTTTTGTATTCTTAGGAGAGATGGGGTTTTACCGTGTTACCCAGGATGGTCTTGATCTCTTGACCTCATGATCCGCTCAGCTCAGCCTCCCAAAATGCTGAGTTTACAGGCGTGAGCCACTGTGCCTGGCCTACAGTAGTAATTTTTACATTCTGAAGACTGACTGCTCTCAGCCACTTCTGAGTTCTCTGTTTTAGAAGGATAATTTGGTAACTCCATAAATGAAATTTGTAAAGAAGAGAGAAGAGAGTGAATTTTTTTTTTCTTTTCTATATACCTTATAGAGTTTTATTTATTTTTATTTTTATTTTTGAGACAGAGTCTTGCTCTGTCTCCCAGGCTGGAGTGCAGTGCTGCAATCTCGGCTCACTGTAACCTCTGCCTCCCGGTTCCAGTGATTCTTCTGCCTCAGCCTCCCGATAGCTGGGGCTACAAGCGTGCACCACCATGCTCGGGTAATTTTTGTATTTTTTTTTTTTTTTTAAGTAGAGATGGGGTTTCACCATGTTGACCAGGCTGGTCTTGAACTTCTGACCTCTTCAGATGTGATTTCTCTGAAGCAGTGGTTCCCTATAACTGACTTGACATAATACATCTGATATTTTGAATGACTTAAGTGATAGTATCAAAATTGCTATCAGATACAGATTTAAATCACATGACTAACCTGTGTGGTATTATGCAAATTGCTCAGCTAAGTAAGGGAACAATAAGGGACAGGCTGGAGCCTCCTGACAGACTGTCCCTTACTGTACAGTGGGATCCACCCACCTGGGCCTCCCAAAGTGCTGGAATTACAGGCGTGAGCCACTACACTACACCTGGCCGAGAGTGAGTATCTTTAAGAACGTTGGGCCAGGCGCGACGGCTCAAGCCTGTAATCCCAGGCCGAGGCGGGTGGATCACGAGGTCAAGAGGTCGAGACCATCCTGGTCAACATGGTGAAACCCTGTCTCTGCTAAAAATGCAAAAAATTAGCTGGGCATGGTGGCGCGTGCCTGTAATCCCAGCTACTCAGGAGGCTGAGGCAGGAGAATTGCCTGAACCCAGGAGGCGGAGGTTGCGATGAGCCGAGATCGCGCCATTGCACTCCAGCCTGGGTAACGAGCAAAACTCCGTCTTAAAAAAAAAAAAGAATGTTTTCCTGATCTTTTCCGATATCTTCATTGGGGTTTTGTCCTTTATTTTTGGTTAAATCCAGAGGTTTACTCCTGCCTGTGTCTTTCCAAACTGTTAATCTGTTCACAGTCACTCTCCCGTTTAAACCCTTTTTTTTTTTTTTTGAGACAGAGTTTTGCTCTTGTTACCCAGGCTGGAGTGCAATGGCGCGATCTCGGCTCACCGCAACCTCCACCTCCTGGGTTCAGGCAATTCTCCTGCCTCAGCCTCCTGAGTAGCTGGGATTACAGGCATGTGCCACCATGCCCAGCTAATGTTTTGTATTTTTAGTAGAGACGAGGTTTCACCATGTTGACCAGGATGGTCTCGATCTCTTGACCTCGTGATCCACCCGTCTCGGCCTCCCAAAGTGCTGGGATTACAGGCTTGAGCCACTGTGCCCGGCCGGAACACTTTAATACTGGTTCTTGACCCTTGTTTTCCCTGAACAGCTCTTGGCCCCTTGAAATCTCACCAGTCTCCTTGTCTTCCTCTGCTGGAATATTCTCCTCTCACTTCATCTAATCATCACCTTCAAAATTCAGCTCATTTTCTTATTTCCTAGCCCTTTTCATGTCCCTTGTTTTCCTCTGATTAAATTAATGTTCCAAACCCAAAAGAAAACAGCTCAGGTATTACCTTGCCTGGAAGGCTTTCCTAATCTTCCTATCTCCTGCAAACTTGTCTGGCACCCTGTACATTTGGGATTTGGAACGCTATGTCTCATCTGTGATCCCCACTAGACGATGAGACTTTCTGTGGCTTGATGGAAAGTTGTTGAATCTGCCAGGGTGCTGGTATAGTGCTGGACATGACAGTGTTACAGAGGAAGTGAGCCACTTAGTCCTTGCTCTTAGGAGCTTTTATTCCAGTTGCACTTCACCCTGCCAGGTGTGAGTCACCTCCCAGTAGTGCCTACCAACTTTCAAAGTCTGTTTAATTGTATCTTGGTGTCTAATTCCAATGTTATTTCTTGAAGGAAGGGACTCTGTCTCTAATGTCTTATTTTAGCACCCAGAGACCAGGTAAACATCATTTTTGTCTGAAACTCTGGATGTAATGTACATTTGGCACAGATTGCTTCCCTTTTTCTCTTGTACACCTTTCATCTTTTTTTTTTTTTCTAAGTTTGATGTGTTTGGACAGGAAGGGTTTAAGAGATTAAGATTAAATTTCAACTTTGTCTATTGTGAATATAGCCTAGGGAAAACTAAAAGTTAAAGAGGAAAAATACATTGCCTCTAAAAAAAAAAGATTCTTTTTTTAAATTAAGCTTTTTTAAATTTTTAATTGTTTTTAGAGACTGGGTCTCAGCCTATCATCCAGGCTGGACGACAGTGATGATCACAGCTCAGTGTAGCCTTGAACTCCTGGGCTCCAGGGATCCTCCTACCTTAGCCTTCTCACTATCTGGGACTGCTGGCATATGCCAGCACACCTGGGTAATTTTTCAAAATTTTTTTTGAGACACTGTCTCGCCATCTTGCCCAGGCCAGTGTGGAACTCCTGGGTTCAAGCAAACCTCCTACCTCGGCTTCCCGAAGTGTTGGGATTACAGGTGTTGAGCCACTGTGCCCAACCTAAACTTTTTTATTTTTTTAATTTTTTAATATTTTTTTAATGCTGACCTGTACACAAAAGAAAGCAAAGGTCCTGTGGTCAAGCCTAGGAAAGAAGTATGCAAAGAAACTGGTAGCAGGCTGGATGTCATGGCTCATACCTGTGATTTCAGGGCTTTGGGAGGTGAAGAGGAGAAGATTGCTTAAGTCCAAGAGTTCGAGACCAGCCTGGGCAACATAGCGAGAACCTTGTCTCTACAAATAAAAAGTTTAAAATTAGCCAGGCATGGTGGTGTGCACCTGTGGTCTCAGCTATTTGAGAAGCTGAGGCAGGAGGATCTCTTTATCCCTGGGGTTTGAGGCTGCAGTGAGCCAGGATCACTGGAGAGCCCAGCTCTCCAGCCTGGGCTGTAAACGGAAAGTCTGTCTCTAAAGAAAAACATGCTGGTGGCAA